ACTACAATAGGTTCAGCCAACATCCATCTTCTCCTATAGATACAACACAAAGAAGAAAAGAAAAAAGGGAAAAGAAAAACTTTTCTCCTTGTGATGAGAACTCTTAGGATTCACTCTTAACTTTCCAATATAGCATATAGCAGTGTGAGCTACAGTCACGTTGTACATTACATCGCTAGTACTTATAACTGGAAGTCTATTTTTTTTTTTTTAAAGATTTTATTTATTTATTTGACAGAGAGAGAGACAGCGAGAGCAGGAACACAAGCAGGGGGCGTGGGAGAGGGAGAAGCAGGCTTCCTGCGGAGCAGGGAGCCCGATGTGGGACTCGATCCCAGGACCCTGAGATCATGACCTGAGCCGAAGGCAGACGCTTAACGACTGAGCCACCCAGGCGCCCCTATTTTTTTTTTTTTAAGATTTTTTTTTTTTAAAGTAATCTCTACACCCAATGTGGGGCTCAAACTCACAAGTCCAAGATCAAGAGTCACATGCTCTTCTGGCTGAGCCAGCCAGGTGCCCCTTGGAAGTCTGTATCTTTTGACAACCTTCCTCCCATTTCTCCCGCCCCCAAGATTCAATTTTAAGTGAAAAACCAGGAGTATAAATAAATGTCTACAATTATATAAAATTTTAAAAAATGCTAATACACTGAAAGACATGAAAAATATGCTAGAAGTTATGCTTGGGTGACGAGTGACATATTTCTCCTTGTTCTAATTCCCTAGATTTAATTTTTTTTAAAGATTTTATTTATTTATTTGACACAAGAGAGACACAGCGAGAGAGGGAACACAAGCAGGGGGGAGTGGGAGAGGGAGAAGCAGGCCCCCCGCCGAGCAGAGAGCCCGATGCGGGGCTCGATCCCAGGACCCTGGGATCATGACCCGAGCCGAAGGCAGGCGCTTAACAACTGAGCCACCCAGGTGCCCCAACAATGCATACATTCTGTTGACAAGGCTGCAGGCAAAAAGGCACGATCATGCATTGTTGACTGGAAGGCAATCTGATGCATACATAATGGGGGGCGGGGGACATCTATGTTTACCTTTTGACCCAGCAATCTCAAGTCTCGGAGTTTATCCTGAAGATACACTTCCCACACAATGAAAATAACACACACAAGGGTACCTCGGTGGCTCAGTTGGTTAAGCGACTGCCTTCGGCTCAGGTCATGATCCCGAGTCCTGGGATCGAGTCCCACATTGGGCTCCCAGCTCAGTGGGGAGCCTGCTTCTCCCTCTGACTCTCTCCCCTCTCATGCTGTTTCTCTCTCGCTAATAAATAAATAAAATCTTTAAAAAAAAAACAAAAAGAAAAGAACACACACACAAGGGTACAAGTAATGGATTACAACTCAATGAATAAAACAGGAACCCAGGAGTACATGATGATATAAACAATTCATTAAACAGGGGAGAAAAGAAAGCTCTTCCTTACAGTAGAATGCCAACTACTAAGCGTAGAAGGAATGGTGGATATTAAAGAAACGCCATCTGGTTACCTCACAGGGGTGACTGATTCAGACAGAAATAATGAATGCCAACCATGGAGGTTTGACGAGTTAAAGGATACTAGTGTAATCTTGGATTACCTCCCCATAAGATACTAATCAGTTACAAAAGGAAAAATGCCCCATTTTAAGCGCAGCTATCTGGCAGGTAACAATGTGACCAGGTGACCAAGGTTAGGATTCCCAGTGTTGGGATGGGTTGCAGCATATGTATGCTTCCTGAGATGACTGAGAACACAGCATCATTTCTATGGTATTCCTGCCAAAAATGCACAACGTGACTCTACACCAGACAGACCCATCCTGGGATTCATCCTACAGAATTCAAGTCATGTGTATTCCCTAACACTGCCAGTGATAATAAAAGACAGGGAAATGCTTTAGAACGTGTAAATAGACAGGACAACATCGTATCTATAACTAATTATCAGCAACTTGGGTACAGGAGCTATGCCTTAACCTTGTCTACAGCCCTGCAGTCTAGTGCATGGGTTTGCAAATTCTAGGTACAGGGACCAGGCCACCATTAAACTTTCCACGTCTGCCCAATGTCATCTAGAATTTTCGTCTTTTCAATAGGTTAGGTCATATTAGTCGTTCTCCGCTAAATCTCCTAGCACAAAAGACGTGCAGTAAATAACTGACCCCGAGAGGGTTGCTTTGACAACACAGCGGAGGCGCCTAACTCTGACTCTGGGAGTGGCAATGAAGCCTTTAGAGAAGAGCACCTTTGAAATAAGAGGAGCTCCCTGAAAAGTTAGAAAAGGCAGGAGAGGGCAGACACTCTACGACACAGAAATGCACACACGGGAGTCAAGAAACAAATGCGGGTTGTTGGAAAAAACGCACGTGTTCCAAGCGCAAGACGTGCCAAGGGTTAGGGAACAGCAGGGTTTCGTGGCCAGGAGCCGGAAGGGCACCGCCCACTTCGCCCCCCCACCCCGCTCACCTCGCCCCGCAGCAGCCAGTCGCGGTGGTAGCTGAGTCGACCTTTGTCGGAACTGCGCAGCGCCTGCAGAGTCTCCCAGCAGCGACCCTCAGACGGCATGGCTCACCTGAGGGAGCTTTTCAGAGTCTCCGCTTGTAACAAAACATGTCCTCGAATCAGCCGCCCGGAAACGGGCCCTAGCTTCCGCTTCCGGGGCACGCACGCAGCCGCGCAGCGCAACCCCGCCCTTAACGGCTGCGTAGCCCCGCCTCCGGCGCCGAGCCCGCTTGCCAGCGCGCTTGTGCGTAGGGTTTGGTCCCTATGCTACCTCTCTTGCTTGCCGCTAGGATCAGGATCTTCTGAAGGCTGGAGTCTCTGGATTGCAGAGATCCCAGTATGTTTTTTTGTTTTGTTTTGTTTTGTTTTTTGTTTTTTTTTAAAGATTTTATTTATTTATTCGAGAGAGAGAGAATGAGAAATAGCACGAGAGGGAAGAGGGTCAGAGGGAGAGGCAGACTCCCTGCTGAGCAGGGAGCCCGACATGGGACTCGATCCCGGGACTCCAGGATCATGACCTGAGCCGAAGGCAGTCGCTTAACCAACTGAGCCACCCAGGCGCCCCCCAGTATATTTTGATGAGGATGTGGAGAAATTGGAACATTGCTGGTGGGCTCTAAAATGGGGCAACTCCTGTGGAAGACAACCTGACAGTTCCTCAAAAGGTTAGCGTTACCATTGACCCAGCACTACTCCTAAGGGTATATGTATATACCCAAAGAAATGAAATATGCATCCACATAAAAACTCGAATGTTCGTAGCAGCATTACTCATAGTGGCTAAAAAGTGTAAATACAAATGTCCATCAACTGATGAGTAAATAAAATAGGGTGTATTCATACAATGGAGTATTATTTGGCCATAAAATGAAGTACAATGCATTCTACAACATGGATGAATCTTGGGAAACATTATTCTGAGTGAAAGCACTGGTCACAATATTGTATGATTTCATTTTTGTTAAATGTCCAGAATAACAAACATATCCTTAGAGACTTTGTTAGTGACTGCCAGGGGCTGTGGGGAGGGGAAAGGGGGAGTGGCTGCTAACTGGTATGGGCTTCATTTGAGGTGATGAAAATGTTCTAGAACCGGATAAAGTTTATAGTTGTGTAACTTTGTGAATATACTGAAAATGACCGAATTATACACTTTAAAGGGGTGAATTTTATGGTATGTGAATCCTATCTCAATACATCGGATAAGATTCACCATTGCTGGGAACCAGCTTTAACTGGGACTTTTTAGCTTTGGCAATTCTTTTGCCCATTTCGTGGGATCTCAGTTCGAGGTAGAAAGGAAACACCCTCTGGAGTTTGAAGTGTTATAAACATTTTCATTTTTTAATTTTTTTTTTTTTTTACAAACTCTCTGGACTGTTTTTAATAAAATACTTTACAAAGAAAAATAGACCATCTTTGAGAGGGTCCCAGCAATAGACTCCAAAAGAGGTGTTTCCCACCAGCGTTGTAAATAGCAGTGCCCTGCAGGAGGAATTTTTCATTGGTTTTACAAAAATACAAATGAGTTGTGCAGATATGTACCACACTGGTGTAAGCTTGCCAACTGTACTTTTTTTTTTTTTTTTTTTTGGTGGGCAGCAAAGTAAAGTTTATTGAGTGATAGTACAAAGCTCCCGAAGAGGGAGGGGACCCAAGAAGGCTGCCCCCAACTGTTCTTTCTTGGAAGATCTTTCATACATTGTAAGTTCTAGTCCATTTATCATTAAAGTTATGAAAACAGGCTTCGTATTGTGGCACTGGTAGCTGGTGCTTGTTTTTCAAATGAACTCCCTTGGCAAAATTAAAAGCTGGAAACTGCAAATGTCCAAAAATTTGAGGGGGGAAGGAGATTTTCTGAATCTAGATGCCTGTGTGGGCCCATTGTTTTTGAGGACATGGGGGAATTCTCTGGAGTTCATTGCCCATGGGTTAGAGTAGACAGAGGACAAGATTGGATCACCCAGAAGGCCAATAACAGCTAAAAACAGAAAGGTTAGGGTTCAGCACAGTAGCCCATTCATTCACCCTCTAAGGAATGTGTTCTTTCTTTTAAATACAGGAAAATGTGAAGAGCACAAAAATAGCCCATAATCAGAAACCAACTAACAGGGGGCACCTAGCTGGCTCAGTTGGTACAGCACGCAACTCTTGATCTCAGGGTTGTGAGTTCAAGCCCCATGTTGAGTGTACAGATTATTTAAAAATAAGATATTTAGGGGCACCTGGCTGGCTCAATCAGCAGGGCATGCAACTCTTGATCTCAGGGTGTGAGTTCAAGCCCCATGGTTGGGTGTACAGATTACTTAAAATCTTTAAAAATTTTTTTAAAAATAAGATCTTTATTTTTTTAAGATTTATTTATTTGAGAGAGAGAGAGCACAAGCAGGCAGAGGGAGAGGGAGAAGCAGGCTCCCCACTGAGCAGGGAGCCCGATGTCGGGCTCAATCCCAGGACCCTGGGATCATGACCCTAGCTGAAGGCAGACACTTAACCGAGTGAGCCACCTAGGCATCCCCCAAAATAAGATCTTTATAAAAAGAAAAACCAACTAACATTTTAAAAATAGTAATATATACACATCCTGTCTTCTTCCATCCTATCCACCCCACCTGACACTGAGCAGTGCCTTACAAAGTGTGTTCTCCAGTCATCTCACAGGATTATGCTGTGAAGAAGGTGCACAAGGAAGAACCAACCTGGGCCAAAATGAAATGAGAAGCCTCACGTCCCAGGCACCAAGTACTTGTTTACTGGCTCTCCTGCAACATTTTCCTTCATCGTTTTTAGAAAAGGGAAGGGGTGGGTAAGGAAATCATCCAATGGAGCCTTAAATATTGATTATAAAAGCTTCTTATAAAACAACACACATATTTCCAGAATAAATGCATTCCACAGATACAGACCTGGCAAAGAGAAACAAAAATCAGTGAGATTGGGATTACACTTTGAAGAGGCCACTGGACATGGGCCCTGCAGCGTCTGTTGTGAAGTGCTTAGGGACAGGGTGGCCTCAAGGACACTCGAACATGAGGTTTCCAGCGGGCGTGGGAGGAAGGCGTTGGGGCAAACACCGTACCCGTGACAAAAAACAGCAAGTGAACATGCTTACAGCCCAGGAGGGGTGGTGAGGGCCTCGGCCTAATAGATCCTGCTGGTTCAGGGAAGAGAAAACCCAAGGGAGAGATTCCTCAAAAGAGGAGGGCTGTGAGGGAACTGGAAGAAAAAGTTCAGATCATTTTCTCTGGGAAGGAAGGAGCAAAGTCATGGTGAGTTAAAATCGGGTACCCTAAGATTAGTAGATTTATGGTGTGTCAAGGTAATTAATTTTCATCAGATGACTCTGTCAGAGGGGAGAAAGAGAAAACTAAGTCATTCCTGTCCCCCACCCCCACCCTCTCGCTGCTTTAGGGACTTTTCTGGGGCCAGTAGCTCAGACAAGATCCTGAACACACTTCCATCAGTGGAAGAGAGAGGAAAGCAACAGGCTTTCCAGCTATGGCTTGGCCCCTCTGCGGTTCCCATGGCATCAATCCGGGCTCCTGGCCCAAGACCGGCAGCCTCAGGCAGGAGGAGATCGGGAGCGGATGGGAGAGCTGGTCAGGTAGGTAGTGTAGGGACTGTCCCCGAACACATTGGCATAGGATGACTTGAGGAACTGGACGTAGTTCTGCATGCTGCGATTGGTGCTTTCTGACTGCTCCAGGCGATCTTTGAGGTCCTGGACCCGGCTCTGGTAGCGACGGTCAGCCTAGGAGGGAGAACCAGAGTACGGGCCAAGTGTGAGTACAGGTCAAGTGTGTAAAATGTCTAGGACAGACAGATCCCTAAGAGACTTGATCAGTGGTTGCCAGGGGCTGAGGGCGGGGGAATGGGAGGGACTGCTGATGGCTATGGGGTTTCTTTTTTTTTTTTTTTAAAGCTTTTATTTATTTGAGAGAGAATGAGAGATAGAGAGCACGAGAAGGAAGAGGGTCAGAGGGAGAAGCAGACTCCCTGCCGAGCAGGGAGCCCGATGTGGGACTCGATCCCGGGACTCCAGGATCATGACCTGAGCCGAAGGCAGTCGCTTAACAAACTGAGCCACCCAGGCACCCGGCTATGGGGTTTCTTTCTGAAAATATTCTAAACTTAGCTTGTGACGATAATGGCACACCTCTGTGAATATGTGAATATAATAAAAACCACCGAAGCGTACAGTTTAAATGAGTGACTTTTATGGTATGTAAATGATACCTTAGCAAAGCGGTTAAGAAAAAAAAGGGATCTGCCTGGAATATCCTTAAGGGATGGGAAAGTGATTTGAGAAAAATAAAACCATGTCATATTCATAAAAACACCTTGCCCTGCAGGCCCCAGGAAGCTAAAATCTCAGCCCATTCCCTCCTCTTCTGCCCCCTACCCTCCAGCCCGACTCACATCGTCCCGGCTCCGCCGCAGCTGGCTGAGTTCAGTTTTGGTCCTGCTCAGCTGGGTCTCAAGGTCCAGGATTTTGCTCTGAGCAGCTCGCTCTTTGGAGACTGCATGCTCCTTGGTTTGTTCCACCTGCCCAGAAGGCACGGAGGTGTGGCTGGCTTACCTGACCTGGGCAATGCCAGGCAGAGAAGCCTGGGCAACTCCCGCTCTGGTCTCAGGGACGGCCCGTGCACATCGCTGTGGACGGCTCCCGGGAGCCTCGGGGCAGGAGCTAAATACAGGACTTCTGCAGCCCACTTCACCTGCCCCTTCCCCACACTCCCATGAGTCATCACCTGAGCCCTGGTAAACCTGGCTGAGTCCCACACAGGCTGCAATTGAATAAGCCATCATGAATAAAGGGCCAAATCCTCTATAGTAATTGCTCATTTGATCCTTACAATGAATTCATGAGGCAGGTGCCACTACTGTGTGCCCATTTTTTAGATGGGGAAATAGGCTCAGAGAGGTCAGGTGATTTGCCCAAGGTCATAGAGTTAGTTAGTAATGGAATCGAGACTGACCTGCCTCCTAGCATCTTCGATGGCGCTCTCCAGCTGCCTGGCCAGGGTCCCACACTCCCGTGTTTTCTCCTCTAGCCGCAGCTGGGACTGGTGGATGGCCTCCTCCCTCTTGGCAATCACCTGTAGGAACTCGATATTCTGGGCGCTGGTTGCCTCCAGTTTCCTAGGTGAAAGCACTTAATCAGATCCTGCTCATACCCCTACCTGTCCTGTTCCACCCCACCAGGGGGCTGCCAGTCACCCCTGGACCGGGGCTCTCATCACGCCAAGAGTCTCCAAGGAACCACACGAATAAACCAAAGAAACCTGCTGATTAGCAAGACGGCAGGATGCTGAGCAGCCCAGACAGCCAGTTAGAGGGCTGTGTGAAGAGTGGGCGGGCAGGGAAAGCCGACTGCGTGTGCCTGTTAGCACACATGATACAGCACCTTGTACTGAACTTAAAATTTAGAAGTTATACAATGTTTCACAAATGTAATTAGTTTGTTTCTTATGCATGTGGGAGAATGGTTAGGAGAGAAGGAATTTTCTAGAATAAGATTAAAATGTATTCCTTTATAATTAAAATTTTAACCTTAAAAGAATTTATAGAGGACAAATAAAATTGCCACTTGTAAAACAAAACAAAAAACAACAAAAACACGGGCCACCATTATCCCCACTCTACAGATGGAAGAAACTGAGGCACTGAGAGCTAAAGTCACTGGCCCGAGGTCAACGCAGCTGGCAGGTCTGTCACCAAAACCCATGCCCTCAGCTTCTGTTCACGACTGCCCCCTCAGCAAAGGGACTTCAGCTGGACCACTCTACCGCGGATGTGAGTCACCACGGGCTGCAGTGACCATTCCGATATGCACACATGGTCCCCAGTGCACTTGCAGAATATCTTCCAGTTGAAAGCTCTGTTAAGTTCTGCTGAGTCCAGCTGCACACTGGAGGCCAGCAGAGCAGAACACTGGCAGAGCCCAGGAGACCTGCTTGCCCAAGTCCCCGCATGCAGGCTGCATGAGCCACCCGGGCAGTCATGGCATCCCAGGGCCCCGGCCTTTCAGCTCTGAAACTAAGGCCCCAACCCTCATTTTACAGATGCTTAAAAGCTCTGGAGGAGAGTCAGGGGCCTACGTCACAGCTTTGCCAGATACCAGCTGTGTCACCTTGGGCAAGTCACTTTACCTTTCTCCATGCTCAGTTTCCTCATATTTAAAATCGGGATAATAGTAGGGGTGCCTGGCTGACTCAGTCGGTAGAGCGTGCAACTCTTGATCTCAGGGTCGTGAGTTCAAGCCCCGTGTTGGGCATGGAGTATACTTTAAAAAAAAGGCGGGGGGATAATAGCAACTAATGTGGTAAGGCCTTTGAGGAAGGCCTCATGGAAGACTTACGATAACCTCATGAGCTAGATTCTTCTCTCTCCCTTGATCCCTTTCTCAAGATGAGTAAACGGAGGTTCAAAAGGGTTCAAGGATTTGCTCAAGATCCTAATACAAGTGGCCAAGCTGAGACCCAAGGCCAGGGCTTCTGACTCTGGGTCTCTGTACCCCTTGGTTGCCTGTGAGTCTCCCAGATTTGGACCAGAAACACTGACGAGTTTTCTCATTGCTGGGCTGGTCCACACTACCGTGCACGTGCGCTCTCACGCGCTCTCCCTCTCTGCTGCTTTATTCCTTTTCCTCCTGGTTTTTTCTTTCTTCAGTTTCCTTAAAATAATCTCTCCTCCTTAGAGCATCCAAGTGGATTCAAATGCTCAGATCTGCCAGGTCTTAGAAGTTGCCTATTTCGTTCTGCTCAACCCAAAGATGTGCCTCCCCTCCCCTTCCCCTTTTCCCTAGATAAGAATCTAGCTCATGAGGTTATTGTAAGTCTTCCTGTGAGAACCACAGGGAAACAGGAAGAGCTGTACTCTTCCCCTGACTGCCTCCAACAGTCCATAGGTAACAGAAGAATCAGATCAGAAAGGTCTTGGGGAAGGAGGATCAGAAACAAAGAGCAAATTGTGAAGGGGGGGATGCCCCCCCCCAACAGCCGCATACTGGTCCTGCTGGTTTGCTGGGTGAAGTGTGCCTTTTTGGTCGGTGGAGCCTGTGGGTGGTCTGAATGTGACCACACTGTTCTGGAGCATCCCCCGGTCAGGAGACCGCCTTCCTCTCTCCCACAATGCTTACCACTGCAATGGAAGCAGCTTTTCCTCTGAGGTCTGCCCTGTACCTTCCAGGGCCTTGAGTCCCTCAAACACTTCTGCACACTAAGCCCAAAGCAGCTAAGTGGCTGAAAGTCTCAGGTCCTAGGAGGACAGAGATGGGACCAAGTGCCTCTAACCTCTCCAGTTCATCCACCTTCAGACTCAGCTGCTTATTTTCCTTCTGGGAAGCCTGATGTTTCTCTCTTGCCATCTCCAGCTTGTCCCCCTGATGTTCAATCTAAAATGACAGGAACACAGACCTGTTTATGAAGGAACTTCCCGGTGCAGCCCTCCCTTCCCCCTAGGACCTGTCATCCACACCCAGGAGAGGGGCATGCAGCCCTCAGCAGGCATCCAAGTCTCAACGCACAACCTGGAGGACAAAGGAGAGGAGGGGCAGGTTAGGCCCGACTCCCAGGAAGGCTTTCCCCACACGAAGAGAAGCCAGGTTTGATCCCGATGACCCACGGTGATGCTTTCTTGATCAGCAGAAGCCACTCAATGGGATCCGGGGCAGACATGAGAGGGCGGAAGCAGATGGTGGGTTTAGCGGGCCCACACGACGTGCCACGGCGCTTTACCAGTTACATTGTTGGCACCGCTGATTTCATTCTCCCACTGAATGGGGACAGGTGCTCGCAAGGCAACAGGAAACCTAGCAAGTCTTTCGGGCTGGCGAGTTTGAGAGGTTATCCAGAGGGCTGCTGTATGCAGAAGCCTCAGATATCAGGCTCAAAAGGCCCTCAGAAAGCTCAGGTTCAAGAGAGGGTAGGCAACTTAAGAGGACTGAGAACATGGGCTTGGGAAGCAGATGGAGCTGGCTGGGTTCCAAACCCTGTTCACTAAGTATCAGCTCTGTGACCTCAGGAAATTATGCCCCTATGCCTTGGGCTGCCTTCTGGAAAATGGGGGAAAATAGTATCTACATCTTAACGTTCCTGGGAGAATTACGGGAGATAATACTGGGGCACAAAGTCTGTGCTCAAGAAACGACAGCTACTTTTATTATTTCAAGGTAGCAGGTCAGGAGAAGGGAAGGGCCTCACCCAAGGTCCCACTGCAAAGGAGAGGCACATAGTTTCTTACACTACAGGCAGGATTCCAGTAACCCAGAGGCAGACTGCTTCTGGGAGGAAGGGAGCCCTCTCTGGGGTCAGAACCTCAGGCAATGGAGCTAAGAGTAGGGAAAGGCAGCTAAAGCAAGAGAAAGCTGGGAAAGAGCACTCGGAGGGCTGGGTGTCTCCCCAGGGGCCGAGCACAGCCGCAGAGCGGTAGAGACTTGGAGCACCGGGGGGCGGGCAACACAGGACAGTGACGGCTCCCATAACTACAATCACTTTGTGCAAACACAAGGCATTTGGCACACCAGACTTTTATTTCACAGCACTGATGATAGCTCACTCCTTTCAGAAAGCGGCAGCCAAGAAAAAGGAAGTGGTCCTCCCTTGGGGGGGGTGTGCAGCTCATCTTGGTAAGCGGGACCCTGCTCGCGCCAGTTCGTGGGACCCTTTCTGCCAGTCCCTTACCCGGCTGCGCAGGTCTGATATGATGGCTGTGAGGTCAATGTTCTTCCTCTCATAGCCCTGCAGCTGGTCTTGGCACTCCGCCAGCTTAGCCTCTGTGATCTTGAGGATGTCGGGCAGCTGCTGCAGGTCAGCCAGCTGGGACTGGAACTGCCTACGGGCCTGGAGTGGGAGAGAAAAGCCCACCATTGGGAAGGGCCCTGCCGCTGGTGGGGCCAGGCGGAGTCCTTTGGAGTTAGGGCAGGGCCACCCTCAGTCCCCGGAAGAGGGTCCT